ACCAATGGGTTTTTCCACCTCAAGAACTGACCCCTCCTAGAATAACAGTTCCTTCCATGCAGAACTTTGCCACATACGGTTTTTCCTAGAGTAAATATCTTCTTGCACCTTAAAGAAAAGCACTTGGAAGAGTATAGCAATGATACCTAGTGACACCTGCCATAAAATACCATATTTTGTCTCTGTCATGCACTCGGGAAGTACTCTGATCTCATACGTCTCAATAACATTACATACAAAAATCTACATGTGACAAAATGTGAATTGCCTAAGGCTGATTCACCACTCTGTGCACTTTTGGAAGCATGGCCAAATGGGGTAAATTTCTGAAGTATTCTTTTAAGGAATCAATGCTTAACTAATCAGTAGTGTCGTTTAGTTCTTTAGTTGGAAGCAGTTGAGAGGCTGGAGAATACAGTAGAGAGGAGAAACACTGGAAGAAATGGCCAGAGAAGCCCTAGTTCTTAAACAGGTCAGATCTCATTTGCTCTCTCGGCTCCATGCCATGGTAGAAGTTAAAGACTTGGGGAAGAACTTTATGCTGTGGGAAACAAGTATGTATAAAGCACATTATAATCTCAGCACTTGAAATTGAACTTGCCACTGGTGTACATGAAGAATCTCTGCAGTTTGAATCCGGGGTGAGGGAATTCTGACCTGTTAGTTAAATTAATGTTAAGGTTGCAAAGTAAAGTGCACAAAAGTTAGAAAATATCATTGTTACAATTGCCTGTTTAATCTTATTTTAACCCCATGCATATATGCACTCTGATAGTCTTGTCCAACATCATATGAAACATAAGACCAATTCCCCATATCCTGTCTTCCAGCAGTGACCAATGCCAGATGCTTCAGAAGGAATGAACAGAATAAGCAGTCATCAAATGATCCTTACTCATTCCCAAATTCTGGCAAACAGAGGACAGGAACACCATCTCTGCCTGTCCTAGCTAATAGCCATTGAGAGACCTATGCTCTGTGACCTATTCTCTCTTATCTAGTTCTCTTCTGGACTCTGTTATAGTCTTGACCTTCACAACATCTTCTGGCAGGGAGTTCCACAGGTGGAATGAGTGTTATGTGAAGAAATACTTCCTTTTGTTTTCAACCTGCTACCTATTAATTTCAATTGGTGACTCCTAGTTTTTCTGTTATGGGAGGGATTAAATAACACTTCCTTATTTACTTTCTTTACGTCAGTTTTGTTGCCTTTTCCAGTTCCAGTATGTAAAAAGTATATGACAGAGCCCAGGATAGAATCCAACTTTCCTGGATTCCATCTCAGTGCTTAAAACTCAAGGAATCGTTCTTTCAATCTTAACGCTTAAAGGCTGGTAGTTATAAGCAACTAAATACAGGGGCTTTTCATGATGTGAGGCAACTTTTCATTATGGGCATCTCTACAGTTCTACCTAAAATACCAGTACAAAATGGTTATAGCAAATGTGTCTAACAGTGATTGGATTTGTGGGTCTCCATTTGAGTGCAATTAACAGGAGCTCAATGAATACATTCTAGCTGTTTATATGTTGTAAATACAAGAGGATCTTTTTGTGGAGATGAAAAGTTTGTCAGTGCATTTGCATATGTGTGTGTCGAGATGTAAAAAGGTTTCCTAAAATGTAAGTTTCAGTGTTTCACTTAAGTAAACTTAATTTTAACCAAAGTTTTTGTTTCTAAAACAATATTAGAGAATTGAAATATCATTTTCAAGGGACTCAGGACTCCCTTTTTATATTATTCAAAAGTTCCAAAAAAGTTCATAAAAGATCCAAATACTCTCTGTCCAGATAGTTTCATTCCTTCAGGCATACCTGACTACAGGGATTCCATGGATCATGACCTGTAGGAATGAGAGCTCACTCAGCAAAAAGGGATGGCATCTTCTTGATATGAAGAGGAAGTTAGCTAAGTAGCCATTTAGAATTCAGTCCATAACTTTTCCTGACAGTAGCACTGGATTGGTGGGAATGATTCCTTGGCTGAAACATTTGACCACCAGTCTTGGATACCATATTCCAACATAGTAAAAATAACTTTTATCTTTATGGAAGCAGATTTTCATGGGCCTTCCTTGTGGAGAATTATTAAAATGCTAGACAGAGACCTTTAATGCCAGGCCAGGGGATTTATTAAGCTTTATGTAAATTTTATTTTGACAGGAAACTTTCCCTATATAGAATGCCACATCCGGTGGTTCTGTGACAAATCCTGGATGAACCGGGGGGGAGAGGGGTGTGTATGTTTACATATTTATTTGGATTTAGTTTAATTTAAAAAATCAGTCTATTATTTAGCTATGAAGCGATTCAGATGAGTTCATAGAGGTGGTCTTGTTGCTGAGCAGTTGTTCAGTGGGAAGGATCAATCTACTTATGTGTGGGAGGACAGTGGAACAGCCCTTGAATTTTGGATTAGAGAAGCTTCTTGCAAAAATATAATGTAAGGAACAAAATGTCCTTCTCCAGTCTGTGTTAAATGCAGATTACACCTTTTGGCCATTCCACCTGTTTCCCTTGTGATTAGTGCTAACAGGGATGCAAATATCTTTCTTCCAGTTGATTATCTTCAAGGTCTAATCATTTAACTGCCCAGCTCATTTTAGAAAAAGAACTCTATAAAAACCATCATGCTTTTCTAATAGAATGGAAAGACCCCAAGTAAGTTTAGAGGCTTTATAGATGTAAACATTGTGTGAGCCTTTTTTACCAGTCTGGAAATTCTGCAACTAAACACCATTAACTCTGGAATTGATTTCCATATGCAGAGATGAAAGGAACTGCTTTAAATTACCTGGGCCATAAAGCATCGTTCTGTTTGCTGTATCATTTTTCCTAATGTAACTAACAGGAATGGAGCATTATTTTAATGTAATATAAACATGAATACCGCACTGAAGGCTCAGACTGTGACAGGGTCTTTCCCAGAGTTACAGCTCAGTATTTATTTTGAGACCAGATTGCCCTGCTTCTTCAGATACTTGCCTGGACATAGAGGGCTATGACTGCAGTGTGACCAGTATGTTGTTGCTGCATGGAGACTTGTAGCCCAGAGATCTGGAGCACAGCCATTCCCTTCTAAGAATGAGTAGGCTTTGAGGCTCCTTCTACACTGCAGGACTATTTTGGGATACTTCAACATCCCTGTAAACCTCATTCCATGAGGCGTAAGGGACGTTTTGGCATAGCTATTTATTTCTAAATAAGTGCTGTGTAGAGAGTGCCAAAATTCAAAATAAGCTATTTCAAAATTGACTAGAACTAAGCTTATGCGATTTGTGTAGTTCAAATTGCATAGCTTATTTCAAGCTTCCAGTGCAGCGTAGTCGTACCCTGAGGGAGCTGTGTCTGAAGGAGCAGCTGCTGTCCAAGGTTATGTCTACATAGCAGGGCTAAAGTCGAATTAAACTACTCAACTTCAGCTACGTGAATTGTGTAGCTAAAGTCAAAATAGCTTAATTTGGCTTTTGGCACTGTCTACAGCACAGGAAGTCGAAGGAAGAACACTCTTCCTTCAACTTTCCTTACTCCTTGTGAAATGAGAGGAGAGTTACCAGGAGTTGGAATAAGAAGTCTCCAGCTTGACACTTTATTGAAATAAAGTCTTGTAGTGTAGACATGCACTGTTATTTAGGAATAACGTCAGTTATTCCAAAATAACACTGCTGTGTAAATGTACCCCAAGTGTGGCATGAAGAATTCCCTCACATGCTAGGTCTAAGTGCACAGCACCTTTATTCAGTGTATGGGATAAGAATAAGATTTGTGCCTCTGTGCACAATTGAGGGAGTTTTCAGGCCTCTCTCCCATCTTTAAAGATCCAGACAAAAAATGAAAAAAGTATAAAAAGGCTGTAACATCTGGAAAATTGCTTTGCCGTGTAGCATAACAAGATTTTTGTTCAGCTTAAAACTAAATAACGTTTGCCCAACACAGATGTGGCTTGAGTATTTACAAGTTAGATGTATTTATCAGACTATATTCAACAGAAGCAACTAGATCCTATTAAAAAAACCATCATCTGGACAAATCACTCCTATATTGGCAGGTATTTAAGCAGCTTCTTTCTGAAACATGAGGTCCTCCTATAAATCATGTTTTCAAATACATAGGCCTCAGTTGCCTATGAGATTCCTTACACGATAAACCAGGGCTTGAAGCCTTGGCTTACCCCTCTGCTTTAGCTGTAACAAATACAATGTAAGTAGATATAGCTGTTTATTTCTTTGTTCAGTGGCAGAGTTCAGTCATTTTACAGCTGAAATACCAGCAGACTTCCTTAAACACAGGGTGAAAGAAGTAAGCACATTGCTTCTGGAAGTGTCTTGTAATTGGGATTTTCTGGATTTCAGTACAAAATTTGTCAAATGAAAATGACATATTTTGGGGACATATGTGGAAGAGATATTGGAGACTATCCTGATTCCATTTAAATCCTGCTGGTTACCCTATTGACTTCAGAGAATTCAGACTTTTATCTAGATGAATTTTTGAAAACCACAATACATTAGTTTTGCTTGCAAAAAAAAAAAGGATTCTGCATTTGAGAAGAAAACCTGTTAATCCTACTCTGCCAACATGCTTAGAAGAACTTAAAAACATACTCGGACCTGCTGTGGATTAGGTTACATCTCTAATGGGTCAAAAGAGGAAAGTAGATTATCAGTAAACCATGTCTTCCTTCCAGTAGTTACTTGAAACAGTTGCTTCAACTCTAAGTTCCATCAGTGAGTATATCTTGGAAGCTGAGTTGTAGATTCCAGTGTTTGATGGCATCCATATTAAAGTTTAACCTGTAAATAATTATTAGGCAATTACATCTTTTCAAGATGGTTTCATAGTTTTATCATTTATCATCTTTAGATTTGATGTAATAAAACAATAACTAAAAATGTATGCTTTATGACTTATTACGCATGAATAAGATCTGTTCCAGTTAAACAGCAAAGAAAGCAAAGAGAATGGGTTAGGAATTTAGTGGTTTTCATGTTTGTTTTGCAGAACAAGGAGTATGTATGTCGGGGCCATGACTATGAAAGGCTGGAGGCCTTCCAACAAAGAATGCTGAGTGAGTTCCCTCAAGCCATTGCAATGCAGCACCCAAACCACCCAGATGACACCATTTTGCAATGTGATGCTCAGTGTATCCTTTCATAAAGGCTGCCTAATGTTAATCAAACTGTTGTAGGGCACAAAGGGTGGAGGAAAAGGAAAGCAGCTTCATCTTAGAAGATCTTGGTTCATATCTGACATTAGTGAGAGGTGTCACAATTTTCATCATCTCTAACTTGTGTTTAGTGTATATTTATCTACATCATTACATACCAGTTGGCCATAATTGTCACTTTCACTTAGGGAATATTCCAGGGCATGGCTGATGTACCTTTGCAGGGCAGTGTGGGAAGATGTACCCAGAGCCTGGTCCGATCTGTGGTTTGTTGTAACCGTTAGTGACACTTGCCCCCTTATGGAACATTACATTTCGCCAGCTATCCACCCAGCTACCTTCTACAATTCTGCAAGAGAGAACTGTGTATTTAGATTCACCCTAACTTTCTTTAACATCAATGGGAATCAACTGCATAGCCACCTTAGCAAATCCTGTTGGATGCATGTCTGAATATTTGGGTGCCGAAATACTTTGACCATTTGGTTTGAATTTCCTACAACACTGTAGGATCCTCTGGCTCTGGAGACACTAGCCCAATAACTTGCTGCTACTTTTGAAGCAGTCTTGAAAAAGAGAGGAGTGTCATGGAAAGAAAAGAGAAGCATGTATTTCTCACTTTCTCCATCTTCTTTTGGTAACGTGACATCCCGAAGGAAGTTGTGTTTTGTATCACTGTTTTCTTGTTTGATGCCTCTGTGTGTTTCCTTGACTCCTCATTTTGCAGATTTGCAGATATATGCAGTGACGCCCATCCCAGACAGTGTTGATGTGCTACAAATGGATCGTGTCCCTGATCGCATAAAGAGCTTTTATCGCGTCAACAACATTAGGAAATTCCGCTACGATAGGCCTTTCCACAAAGGCCCAAAGGACAAAGAGAATGAATTTAAGGTAGGAGCAGTCAAGAAATAGAAACAATTTTAATCTTTGTAGGGCAGGTACTATCTTCCTCTTCTGTGTTGGCACAATGCATCACACAATGCCTAAATCCAATTTGGTGCCACAAGATATTGAAGATATTTGGTGCCACAAATAATGAATACCAATGCTGGGCTGTTGAGCCTAATGACTGCACAGGTGGCCTAGGTAAAGCCTACTGTATTTTAAAGGTACTTGTCACAATGCGATGGAGAGGGATTCTGAAGTATTGGGGTTTCCTTTGTTGATTGACATAGTACCCAAAATGCTCCTAGCTAACTGATAGCAGACCTAGCATCTGAGGTCTAGAAAGGTTTGATATGTTGCTTTCAAGCACACTGAATTTTTTTTCTTTGTGTTTAAATTCAAAGCAAACTTTGGCTTCATGTTAAATTCTGTTGTAGAAAACAATATCTGCTCAGAGTATTAATGTGCTCTCCTACATGGCTATCCCCGAACAACAGCAGTGAGAAAAAGTGTGTAGAGATCTTGACTGCTGGGGTTTCACACTCACTGTATTTCTTGCAGAGCTTGTGGATTGAGCGTACCACTCTGACACTGACTCACAGTTTGCCTGGGATCTCTCGGTGGTTTGAAGTGGAGAGAAGAGAGCTGGTAACATTTGTTATATTTGTAACTGAGATTTGAATGGATAGTTTCTTAAGGGTGAAGGGTGGGCAATTTAAAGTCTCTTGTCTGGGTCTGACATTGAAAAGACTCATGCTTCATGGGTGGGTATTGTAGATTCCTTTCCCAGCATTCCCTCAGCCCAAATAATTGCTAAACATAACAAGAGGAGCAGTGTAAACGGAACAGAGCAATCAGAGTAAGTGACAGTGAGGTGTGATTCTGAATCTTGACAGCATCTCCAGTCACTTATTCAGAGACATGTGACAGCTATTGTAACTGCCAAGATGAGTGTGCAGTGAGGTGAATTGAGATGTATTGCGGACACACAGTAAAACTGTTGTGAAAAGCCATCTTGTTAAAATGGCTGGCTAGTCTGCGTGGCCGAAAAAAACTGAAGGGCTCATCAAGCAGCGTAGGATTTGGTTTCATTTAAAGGAAGGGAACACTGTGGCAGTGAGGTGTCTGTGGCATCCAACTATTCTTTCTTGCCTTGTAGGTTGAGGTGAGCCCTTTGGAAAATGCCATTCAAGTTGTGGAGAACAAAAACCAGGAGCTGAGGACACTGATAAGCCAGTATCAGCACAAGCAAATGCATGGCAACATTAACCTCCTCAGCATGTGTCTGAATGGAGTGATTGATGCAGCAGTGAATGGTGGAATAGCACGGTACCAGGAGGTAAGCAGGAACTGGTCCTCTGAACTT